GTTGCCGTTCGTGCCGCGCGTAGTTCGTGCCGTATGTGCGCGCACAGATGTGCCAGCTATAGGTTCCTCGGCTATGACATGCACAGCGGCAACCCGATGCAGGGCGCCGAGTGGTGCTTCCAGCTCACGGCGTTGCGCGATGCGGCAGTGGACAGCCACATCGAGAAGAACACGCCGCAGGTCGTTGCATTCCGAAATGTTTTCGTGCATGCGAGCTTCGCTCGCGATCTAATATCGCAACTTGTACCGCCGCTAGGACCCACTGGCCGATGATCCGTCGGCAATCGTGACGGCGGGGCGTCGGGGAAAGCTCTACTTGTCGGCCAGAGTGCCGACGTGTGCGGTGATTACGTACCCGTCCTTCAACAGCATGGGTCGGCCCTTCGGACCTACCCAACTGCTCGTCAAGGCCACGCCGAACAAGGGCGAGAAGCTGTACCTAGAGTCCAGCGAGGATAACATGAATTATTCTGCTCACGCGCGCCCGCGCCCCCATACGTTTTCGACCACAGAATGTTCACAATGTGCAGCGCTTCTGCTGCAGCGAGCCTCACTCGCTAGGTGTGGCAGACTACCGTCTCACGTGACCCATTCGAGCATAGCTCGGACTTCTTGATTTGGTTGGCGAGGCGCGATGAACTTCCTGATCTGCCAGACGTTCACGTGCAATATCGCGGCTACAAGCGCGAGGCCGACGGCGACCCGCCTGTTGAGTTGGTGCCGCCGAACGTAAAGTGGACCAAGCGGTCCCAGCCGACAGTGGAATCATCTGGTCCATGGTCGCGAAGTACATGACCACGGAAGGTCCCAAGGAGCCCCGCGCGACTCCAGCGCATTGCGAGGACCGCGCGGCGTCCAGATTCGCATGTACGCGGGAGCAATGCTCGCGCATGCAGATATCCTACTGTCCCCGTCCCTCTTTTCTTCTTCATATTTCCCTTGCAATGTAGGTTCAGTTGGCATACCCACAGGATTGGGAGAAATACGTCGAGGGCGTTCGCCTCACGGAGGCGAACTTGCAGATGATCTACGACGCCAAGCACAGCAGCGACGCTTGCGTCGACATCGCGGGTTCACCTGAGGCGACAGCGTCGGCAGCTCAGGCGACGCCCTCGAGGGCGACGCCCTCGTCGTCGCCCGCGGCGTCGCCCGTGGCGACGTCCTCGGCGTCGCGCCCCAAGCGCCAGGTCAACCTGTTTGGTCAATTTGTTGACCCCTAGGCGTTTACAGAGCCGCGCGGTTGCGCATGCGCTCGGTTGAAAGGCGAACATGTGCATCGCCATCACCTGACACAGTTAACATCACCCCTCCTCATTCCCCTCCTCCTCCGCCTCATCCTGGTCCTCCTCCTCCTCTCACCTCCTCCGAAAACTCGGGGTCGATCGCGCCCCGGCCCGTGCCGCAGCGATTGCAGATCGTTTCCACGTTCGCGCCGCGCCGCGCGCCCCCGCGCGCGCCATGGCCGCGCTCGTCTGCACCGAGTACGCGTTCCTCGCGATAGGCGAGGACCCGTCGGTCACGCTGTTCGACCCTCGGATCACGCGGCGCATGGGCGGGGCGGTGTTCGCGGAGACTGCGCTGGGCGCCAACTGTCAGCGCCTTAGGTCGCACTCCACTTGCGAGCTGTGCTCGCGCTGATGCACGCGAGCATCGCTCGCCATGTGCAACAGATTGGGGGCGGGTTCTGTACAAGTGCCGCCGTGCACACTGCGCGACACGCGAGCGTTGCTCGCCATCAGGGTCTCCGATCATCGATCTGCGGCGCGCTGAGGCCGCAAGGTGCCAGTTCAGTCCTTGAATACCAGCATCGGCAAGTGGCATTTCGTGAAGACGGCGGCGCGGCCGCTCCTTCAGCCCCAGGCGTCGCTCCACGACAAGGGGGCTACCGACCTGAACGTTTTTAAAGTTTCCCAAGTGTTGTCGCACGCCGCCGTCTCAAGTCAAGATCCCATGGGGGTGGGTGGCGAGACATGCTCGCCGAGATGCATGCACACGCACGCCGCTTACCATGGAGGGGCACGGTGAGCGACCCTCAACAAATTGCGCACGCATCGTACCTGACCACCATCAGGTAGCGGACATCGTGGAGTATGCGCGCGGTGTGCCCAGAGTGCCACTGGCTGATCGCGCGGCACTGTACGGTCAAGAACGCAAGCCTGAAGTTGCACGAGGGCCTTCACCCTCACCCGCCGCATCATGGGTGACGGTCAAGGACGCCATCCATGATGGTCACCTCGGCAACGTTCAGGCGCGGGGATGTGCGCGGACATGTATACATGTCTGGCGTGCTTCGCGTGCCGTATAGTTGTCTGGCGCGCCTCGCGCGCCGCATAGTTGTCAGCGCGCGCGCGACGCACGCAAGGTCCACTACGACGCGTCCGTCGCGGCCGCGTGGAAGGACTGGAAGGCCGCGAACGATATCCCGCCGCGGCGGCTGCGCCAGGTGATGGGGCACGACGGGCGGAAGTTTGCGCGGGCGGCCATGGGCTTCAAGCCCTTGGTCCGCCGCGTGCGCAGGCGCCTTGGCTGAGGCAGCGCGCGCGGCGGCACCTCCTCCCTCCCCCTCCCCCTCCCCCTCCTTCTCCTACTCCTCGCCCTCCTCCTCCTCCTCCTCCTCCTCTTCCACAATTATTCAATATGAAAATACTCCCTCTTCCCCTAATGGCGTCCGGGTGATGGCCGCGCACCCTCCGCGCATGGTTTTTTTACACGCAGGATGCCCGGGAAATCCCGGGAAACGACTCTCGCTGAGGCGCCGGCGTCATTTTTTCCCAAAATGCTGCTCTCGTTGGGGCGCCGGCTTCATTTCTGCTCCCGAATCGTTCCGAATCGTGCTCCCGCTGCAGCGTGGGCCTCATGTTCGGATCGGTGTTTGGCCTCCGTCGTTCAGGATGGCGTTCTCGCCCCAGCGCGGGCCTTTTTCTCGCGCGCCCATCCGCCCGCCACCACCGCGCCGCACCGCCACACCACCACCACCACCACCACCACCACCACCACCACCACCACCACCACCACAACCACCACCAGCACCAGCACCAGTACCAACACCAGCACCAGCACCAGCACCACCACCACCACCACCACCACCACCTCCACCACCACCACCACCACCACCATCACCACCACCACCACCACCGCAACCACGCACACACGCACGCACGCACGCACGCGCACCACCACCCACTACGCACGCGCGCGCGGATCCACAGGTCCGCTACGACACGCGTCCGCGGATAGAGAAAATCAGCGCCATGGTAAGGGATGGGAGGGAGGGGTAGGACGTCAGATATGACGCGAGCGCACCTAGCTTGTCCCCACCCCCTCTCGCCCCCCCCCCACTCCCCCTTCTCCTCGGGCGGGCCTGTGCGCGGAGAGCAGATCGCGCATGATCTATTGTAAACAGAGCGCGCGTGCGATAATGCCCGCATTCACTCGCCCAAACCGCGTGCGGGCATACTCGCATTCACTCAAGCCCGTCGATCTCGCTGGTCGTCGCCATGGACCTCCTATCATTGGCGTCGAGTGGGGGGGCGACGACGGTCGGCGCGGGGGCGCGGTTGGGATGGGGCGGAGAAGGTGGAGGTGGTATGATTCAGCTGGCAGTAACAATAGATCGGTGGGAGGGTGCGCGGCGACGATCGATGCGATGTTTCGAGAGCACGATGGCGCGATCGAAGACGCCGCCGACCGCCGTCGAAGGCGACGACGATGCAGCCGTTTTTGGCTATAGGCGCGCCCCGTCGCGCCAGTGGTTCTGCCGCGCTTCGCGCGGCCCGTGCCCAGCGGCACATGGCGCCGACCCGCCCGTGCTCCGCGGCGAAGGAGACGGGTTCAAGCATGTATGTATGTATGTATGTATGTATATATATATATATATATATATATATGCATGGGTGGATGGGTGGATGGATGCATGCGTGGATGTAGGCATGTAGGTATGTAGGTATGTAGGTATGTAGGTATGTAGGTATGTATGTATAGAAGCAGGTATGTGGGTATGTGTGGATGTGTGCATGTATGTATGCATAGTGGTTCGGCGAGCAGTCTCGCCATTACGTGCGGGCATATCCGCATGTAGGCGGTGCGCGTATGTGAAGGCATGCATGCATGCCTTCACATACGTGTATCGCGCATGTTGGCATGACATTCGCATCCCCAGGAGGAAGCGTGGGGATCGGCGGCTCTCGCAGGTGCTGCGAGCACCAGCGCGGCGCCGCGCGCGCCAGCGGTGAAGCCGCCGTGGGGCCACCGCCAGCAGCCCGCGCCGCCGCCGCGGGGTGGGGCGCAGGACTGCCGCGGTGGATGGCATCGGCATGGATAGTGGAGGAGCAGGAGGAGGGGCATAAGGAGGATGGGGGGAGCAGCAGGAGAATGAGGAGGATGGGGAGGATTATCAGGGGATGAGACGGAGCGGCGGAGGAGGAGCGGGGGGGGGGGGCAGAGGCTCGGAGGAGGGTGAGAAGGAGGAGGAGCGGGGGCGGATGAGCGGAGACGGGTGATCAGAGGAGCAGGCGGGGCGGAGGATGGGGGGATGATGATGAGCAGGATGATGAGTATGAGGATGTTGAAGATGATGAGGAGGATGACGCTCGGTAGGACGCCCCATCCCCACCCCGCCTTTCTCCGAGCTCACAGGACCCCTACGGTGGCTCGGGGCCTGCCGACGCTGGTGGCGAGGCCAGCGCGGGTGCGATGACCACCGAGTGACCGCGCCCATGTCCCGATGCGATCACATCGGCGTCGCAACCCACACGCTCCTACAAGATCGCCGCCATCCCGTACTGACGAGTCAGTATGGGGCGACAGTAATTTGGCAGTAGCAGTTGGGTTGCGACGCCGATGTGATCGCATCGGGGCATGGGGGTGCCCCAACTGTGGTCACTGCGCGCTCCAGCAGGCGCCCGAGGCGGGGACTGGCGACTGGCTGGAGGAGTCCCGCTGGCGGAGACTGGCGACGGGCTCAAGGCTTACATAGTCGTGTCGCGAGCTTCGCTCGGTCGATGTCGTTCAAGCTCACGCAGACCATGTGCGAGCGTTGCTCGTGCATGGTATGCGTCAGCATCGCGTGCGTCACGCGCGCGGTCGCCCTGTCCCAGCAGGGCGATACCATCGAGCAGGTGGGCGCGGCGAGGCTCGAGAGGGCCAGGCACGGCGACCCGCAGGTGATGTGGGGGGACAGCGGGTGTCACATGTACATCACCCTCCACGTATATGTGTATATACGAGCCCACCGCGAGCTTTAAACTCGCTGGTGTTCGTATATATGCTTACCAACGAGATTGCCGGTCGCCGCCGCGATCTTCGATCGCGGATGTGATCGGCCAGGTCGTTGATAGTTACGATCGTAGGACCTGCCGCCCGCGACCGAGGGCTGCGCGCCCGTCGCGCCCGTGGCGCCGCCCGTGGCGCAGGAGGAGGAGCCGCTCGAGCGGTGGAGGCACGGCGGCGACCCGCCGCAGTTCCGCCAGTCGATTGGCCCCCCGCAAGAGGAGGACGTGGGGGCGTGGCCGCCCACAAGGTACGAAGTGCCCGTGCCGCCGCCCACTGGGCGGCGGTGGGCGGAGACCACCTCGGGCGCCTTCGGCGCCTACCTGAACAGCACCTTCAAGGTCATGTTCAGGAAGGCCGCAGGGGGTAACAAAATCGGGGGATGGGTGAGTTTGGTGAGCATCGCTCGACATGTGGAAATGGTATCGGGTGAGGGGGTGGGGTAGGCTTACACCACTTGGAGATTTGGCATCGCCCCACCCCCAAGTGGTGTCAGCCTACCCCACCCCCACTGGGAGATTGTCGCGGGTGTTTATATATATATATATATATATATATATATATTCTTACTTTTTTGAGGGGGGGGGGACCTTTGCACATCCCACAGGCCCAGACCCGCGGCGGCGAGCGGGCGGCGGCTGCGCGCCTGAACGAGGTCAAGGCCGCCTTGGCGCAGGGCTCTGGCGTCGCGGCGGTCGCCAAGGCAAGTCAGTCGTCCTGTCGCGTTGTGTCGCGCGAGCATTGCTCGTGTACGCCGTGTCTTTCGACGGCGGTCGCATTGAGCATAGCTCGTTGCGGTCGCCATCGGACTATTTCGTCCAGGCTGCGGGCGTGGCGACGGCGCCGCCTGCGCGGCCGCCTACGCCACCGCCGCCGCCGCCAGCGCCGAAGCAGCGGCCGTCGGCGCCGCGTCCGACCACTGCGCCCACGACCAGGCGCCGCGCGCCACCGCCGCGCGCGCCATCGCCGCAGCGCCCGACTGCGGTGAGGAGGCCAACGACGCCGCAGCGGCGCCCGACTGCGGCGAGCAGCAGCCGCAGCCGCCCCGCGCCGCGCGGCACGGTGGGCGCTGCCATCCCCGAGCCGCCGCCGCACGTTGCGTCGTGGCGCAACCGCGCGCGGCGCAGCATCAGCTACGCGGACAAGTGCGACACGTACAAATAAGTGTCGCACCAGCGGCGGCGGCCTCGGCGGCGGCCTCGGCGGCGGCCTCGGCGGCGGCGGCCTCGGCGCATTCTGAGCGGGCGCTGAGCGGCGCGCCTTCGGGCGCACTCGGCGGCGGCGCGCGCGGCGAGCCATCCTCCTCCTCCTCCACGCCACCGGCGGCGACGACAATGGCGACGACAGTGACGACTACGACGATAACGGTTAACGTGACGATGCTAGAACGACGACACCAACGACGACGCAGACGTCATCGATGCTGATAGGACGATGGCGACGACGATGGCGGCGGCAACGATCATAAGGTTGATGGCGATGAGACATATGACGATAGCGACCACGTCGACGATGCCGACATCAGAGCCACGGCCGCCAGCTAATTTCCGCGCGCCACACCATGCGCTTCTCAATTTGGTGTGGCGCGCGCTAGTCCGATGACGATGACGTGATATGCCGCACACTGCTTTCGATGTCTGATTTATGAATGTTGATTGGTTGCGTTGCCGTTTCTTGAGTTACGAAATCAGGTCACGATCACAACCACGGCGACACTGCAATGTATAGCAAGCTATACATTGCAGGTCTGCAAGGTATAGCTTGCTCAGAAGCATATGTTACTACACAACTGTAGCAAGCTATACATTGCAGATCTGCACTGTATAGCTTGTTATACACTGCGGATCTGCAGCGTATAGCTTGCTATACATTGCAGATATGCTACGTATGGCTTGCTATACATTGCAGATCTGCAATGTATAGATTGCTACACATTGCAGTTTCGAATTGTGTTGCTCTGGTTTGTTATTTTCCAATTTGATTTCGCAAACGATGCAAAGAAATACTCCCTACGTGTGTGGCATATCGTCGTCGTGTTTCATGCGTGCGGTAACGGTGTCGTCGTGTGCACATGTGCAAATGCGCTGTTACACACGATCGTGACACCGCCACCGTACGCATGACTACATCAGCAGATTCGTCACTACCTCGCCTGTCCGCCCAGTCTTGCATAGGCGCCCGCGTGCCAGTGCCCCGCGGATGGAGGTAAGAGCAGTGCCGCGCTAGAAAGAAATGTCGCTCCCTTTCTGCCTCATTCTTCTCCACGCCGACCAAGTGTCGACCATCCAGCATAACCACCACAATTGTTATAGCGTTTGCCACGTGCAACTGCGAGCATGCTCGCAGTTGCGGTATTGCGAATCACCTCGGGCTCAATTGCGAGCTACGCTCGCGCTGTCAGCACAACCCTCTCTTGCGTCGCAAACACATGCCTGTGAGCTTCGCTCACTGCCGCATTTGGCAGCCGTTTGGTGGCCCGAGTGAGCGGCCGCCACAGCCCGCACGCTCCTTTTACCGCCATCACCGCGGGCGCGGCGGCGGACCACGCCCGCGACCGCGCTCGAGCTCGCGCGCGAGCTCGAGCACGAGCTCCGCGAGGCGGGCTCGCTGGTGGACACCCTCGGCGGCGAGCGGGAGCGAACTATCGCCAAGCTGCACATCGCTCTCGACGCCCGCGTGGCCAAGCTAGTCGGGCTCGGCGCCGCGACCGTACAGAATCTGGTCACGGCCATCGACATCGGTCCGTGGTCCGATCGCCAGAAGAATGGACTTCGGAATCTCGTCGAGACGATCGGCGCCAGCTCCACGAAGACCGACAAGCAGCCGTACCAGCACTGCTTGAGGCACATCGTACGAATAATGTGCACCCCCGTGCCATGTATACAACTGCGCCAGCGAGCTTCGCTCGCGATGGTGTCAGACAATATGCGAGCTTTGATCGCGATGCTAACACACCCTCAAGTTCGAGAACTACATCGCCCAGGAGGAGTGGGCGAAGCCCCGCTCGAAGCCCATCGCCCACGCTACGTGTGGTATTCTGAGCTTGTTTCCACACGTGCCGCATATCACAGAACGCCATATGCAGCATCGTTACATGTTGTACGCGGCACGAGCTTTGCTCGCAAGTTCGGCAGGTCCTTGCCAGCGTGGCCCCCCCATAATGGCGCGGGGGTGCGTATTTTAGCCAACCGAGCGTGGCGCACCGGGCTGTTCAAGCCGTGCGAGGGCACCGTGTTTCGCATGGTCGCGGTGTTGGCGCACGCCTTGAACCTCGAGTTATCGCACGATGACGCGCTGAAGCACAAAGCGTCATTGAGGTCGATCATCAACACGTATGCCAAGGAGCGACCTCGTGACCCCAGTCTGCAGCGCATCTTGGTGCACGGCAAGCTGAGCGAGCTCGACGACGCGACCCGCCGCTTCGCGCACGGCGACGCGAAGCTGCCGCCAACAATCAACATACATGGCGCTGACGCGACATATTCCCCGCGCAGTCTACGTCGGGAAGCGGGGGTAAGATGGGGTGGTATTGTATTTCGAGCGTCGCTCTCAGGCGCATGTAGCGCTCGCTTTGGCGAGGCGTGCGAGCGTCGCTCGCTGGCATGCGTCGCCACATTGCGCGCCGTGGTTGGCCCATGCCAGGGACTGCGCGGATCCCAGAGCTGGACGCGATTCTGCCGTTCAGCTGCCGCGCTGAAAAGCGGAATCGCCAGAAAGACCCTGCGTTTCTGGACGCGGTGCCAGAACAGTACCGCCAGGCGATCAGAGATCATATCGCCAGCGAGCGCAAGAAACCAAAAAAGGAATATGTGAAGGCCGAGAAGAAGGATGACGACGAGGACAAGAAGGATGTGAAGCAGGAGGTGAAGGTGACGCAGGAGGTGACGCATGAGCAGCCAGAGCTGGCATCGTCTGCTTCTGCGGCACCGCCTGCTGGTGTGGAGCGGACATGCCCCGCTGCCATGAGCATCAACAGCTTCGGCGTGTTGACGAAGACGGACCTCGGCCCCCGCGCCGCCCTCGGTGCGTGGAGGGAGGAGCCAGACGAGACAGCGGTCGCATCGGTCGCCGCCGCAGCCTCTGCCAGGAAGGTTGAGGAGCGGTCAAATCGGCCCACGACAGCCACCCCAGCGCAGCGGTGGCCAAGCGCCGCCCCGCAGCGGCGGGGGGCCTGGCGGCAGCGGCGCCTATGCGGCGCCCAGCCGCCGCCGCCGCTTCCTTGACGGGAGCGGCGCGCGCGCTTCGCGTGCGGCGGCGGCTGCTTGGCAAACAATACAACCCCGCCGCTTGGGCGGGACAGCTCGACGCCGCCCAGGTGGAGGAGAATCTGGAGACGTCATCCACGATGGTCGTCTTCAAGTCGTGGGGTTACCACAAGGTCCGCAAGGGCATGAAGAAGGAGGTCTTCTCACACGACACCGCCACGGGCATGGCGCGCGAGTGGTACCGCAAGCTCAAGACCATGTGGGTTGAGCGCTGGGGCCCCCCAGAGTAGTCGCGCCCGCGGGCGCGGATGCGCGGCGGTGCCCGCGCGACGGCAGTGCGTGCGTTGCGCGACTGCCACCGAGAACACATGTCAGTTCAACTGCAGTGCACTCGCTTTACTGCACACTTCCCATCGTCATCAACGCCACCAGCTCCTCACCCAATGCTACCTTGTTAAGGTTCAGCGAGCTTTGCTCGTCTGGCGAACGCGCGATACATTCCGAAGGCTTGGTCCAAGGTGGACGCATGTTGACGCACCGCGCGCGCCGCATGGGCTGCCATGCCAAAGCGTGCTTCGATTGACCACGATGAAACGCAGGTGTGGAAGGTGCTGCGGCTGGGGAAAGAGAGCTGGGCCAGCCAGCGCGCGATCACAAATCTATCCGACTGCCTTGCGCACCCGCTCCTCGACAGCATGTGCGAGCTTGGCTCGCGCAATACATGTGTATAGTGACATGTCGTATCGTATGCCAGCATCGTGGTTGCAACGCGCTGGCCCAGCGGACTTAATCTTGCTGATAGCGGCGACGCCCCTGAAACCTGGAGCAGGGGCGCCCAGTACCGCGCGGGCAAGGCACAGTGCCAAGCGCGCGGTCCGTATGGCAGACTCGTGGAGTCTGTACCCCTGACCATGGATTCAGGCGACGACGTGCGCATCGCGATCCAGAACCCCCTGGAGATGCTGCACTATGTCGCGGCGCACAGCACGCACTTCTCTGACCTGCTGGCGGCGACCTTCGACGCGACGCAGTGTAGTCGCGAGAAGCCGTGGTCGATCGTGTTGTATTCATCAGTCTCATTGACCTCCCGCCGTCACGACTCCAACGCGAGCTTTGCTCGCAGCAGGGAGCGAGCGTTGCTGGCATCGCGCGCCTTACACGCCACCCTGTCTCGACAATGAGGCATGCGCACCAAGACGGCGTGAACCCCAGTGACGCCATCTCGAAGAGACACACACGTAAGTCTGGCCTCTTCTATTGGTCGATTATGGAATAACGCACGGCTTTGCCCAACTCCGCCACGGTCAACGGTGAGATTAGTAGATCGGCGAGCTACGCTCGCACCGCTGATGCTTCTGGTGCGTCATGCATGTGACTGTCGGCGGATTCGGTCCGCTGGCACTTGGGCGCGAACATAGCTGGCTGACAATATGCGGCGTCCGGCAGCATGTCTGTGCGAAGGCCGAGGGCCAGCTGACGCAGATAGCCCACGAGTGCATGAAGTGGTTCTTCGAGCGCACGGGGACCGACGTGCGCGACGCCGGCATCAACTTGGTGCTCAAGGGGGGGGCGCCAGGTCCGCGTCTTCCTGGAGCTCGCCGTTACTGCGGGCGACGAGCCTGGCATCAAGGAGATACTGGCATCCAAGGGACATAGTGGCGCGAAACCTTGCGCATTGTGTCAGAATTGCGTGCTTCACACGCACCCTCGTGCCGAGCGAGGAGATGGGCTCCACCAGCATGGCGACTGGATCGTCAGCGTCGCGGAGACCGGCGTCTCCAGATTCGCGTCTGGCACTCAAGCTGCTTTGCGGGGTGCACCCCGTGACGCGAGCGTCGCTCGCGCCACGTTGTGGTCGGATCGCAATCGGGGTGGCGAGCGAAGCTCGCACGGTCGACGCTGACGCGATCGGTTTCCGCTCGCCAACTTAGGTTGCACACCGACGAGACCATCGTCGATGTCGTGCGGCGCGTCCAGGAGAACCCGTTGGACGATCGCGTCGCTCTGCACAACGGCTTCTCGCGCACCCCGTACCAGCTCATCGGGGACATGCTGTTTCGGCCGTCGCAATCAATCATGTACGACTGGTCGCACACCTACCTGCAGGATGGCATCTGCGACGCCGAGTTCGGCACCTTCATGTCATCCTGTAGGACGGTCGCGTCCTACGCCGAGCTCGGCGAGCTCGTGCGTGCGATCGCGCCGCCGCGCGCCTTTCCGCGCCTTGGCTCGCTACTCGGGCCGAACAAGATCCGCAACGCCCTGAAGAACGATGAGTTCCAGAGCGATTGCGGCGAGTTCTGCACGCTTGCGCAAATCGCATCGCGATATCTGCGCGAGGTGGCACGCATGCGCGCCGCATGGGAGGGAGGTATGGGATGATATATGGGTCGGGGAGGTGTGGCACCTGTGATGATGGATGAACTATCCCATCGGGGTCCCACGCGCGTTGGACAGGTAGTGATGACGCGCTCCGACGAGCCGAAGGTGCGGAGCATGTTGGCTGCCTTCGACGTGCTGGAGCTGCTGATGGCCGCACGCAGCGTGGGCATGGTGCGACCGTCGCAGCTAGCGGCTGCGATCAAGCGGCATCTGGACGCAGACGTTCTGTACGAACTTCCGACGTCCCAACAGTATCATTTTATGCAGCGAGCGTTGCTCGTCGTAAGTTCAAGTAGCATGTCCGCGATTCACTCAGTGAGTGCTGCGACAGCCTGCTGCTGCCGCACACATGCTTATCGGCGAGCATTGCTCGGTCCATCGGATGCGCTGGGGGTCACGCCAATTGACGCGCGGATTGCTCAAGGAGGCGCATGCGGCTTTTATCTGATTTTTTGTATTTTTTTTTTGCAGCTTTTGTTCTTTTCTTTATATTGTTTTTTATTTTCTCGTTTCTTTCGTTTCTTTTTTTTTTTTTTGTTTTATTTCTTATTTTGCATATTGTACTGTTAGTTGTTTTTGTCTTTTCTTAGTAGTTACGTTTTTTTTTCATATTTTCTTATTTGCAGCATTTCGACCAAAACACCATTACGCCCTCCACCTCCCGCTCCAGATGTACCGCCACGGCTTCCTCGTCGCAACCATGACGATGGAGCGCAAGCACCGCGTAGTCAAGCGGTACTTGCGGCCGCGACGCACGCTCACCTCCTTCGAGATCGGCGTCATGGAGGAGATATCGTGCTTCGAGTTGTGGCAGCTCTGCGGCACGGAGGTGGCGCAGCGAGCAACGCTCGCTGATGGCATCGGTGGCGGGGTGGCGCAGCGAGCAGCGCTCGCTGATGAAAGTGCTGGCGAATGCTTCGGTGGATCTCTCTAACTGCACAGGTGACCATACGTGGCCTGGTCAAGCCCAGCCCGCCGCGGGGCATGCGCCAGAAAGTCCTGCGGGATATCCATAATGCTCATCGCATTTCCCGCTGCACGTAGATCATCTTACGCATGACGTCGAGCGACGCTCGCCATGAGATGCGACCCATCATGCATTGACATTTTGTCTTACCGTGCGTTGGACGAGCGGATATTTGGTGACGCCACTGTGCGCACGAGCTCCGCCGCGGCTCTCGATCGCGGCATGGCGTGCCCCGGCGACGCGGTCATCATCCAGGCTCGGAAGCAGGGTGGGTGGGGGGGGGGGCGCAGGGCAGCAATTCACATTATTTTCGTATTCCTTTATCCCTTCTCTCCTTCAATGCTCTCTCCGTCAATCCTCCTCCCCTTCAATATTCCCTCCGTCAATCTTCTTCTTCGCTCACTCTACTTCAATATTCTCGCCTTCAATCTCGTCTTCACTCCCCTCGTCTTCACGCATTCTCGCCCCTCTCGTCTTCCCCCCCCCCGCCCCGTTCACTCCACTTCACTCCGCTGCCGCCCGGCCACAGGGGCGGGGGTCGAGTCGACCCTATAGGTGGCGCGCCCCCTGCCCCCCCCCCGCCCCTCGGCTCCGCCGCGCGCCCTGCCGCGCGCCATGGCGTCGCCGCCGCCGCCGCCCGCGGCCGCATGCGCCGCCGCGGCAGCGGCGCGCCCCCCCTCGCCGCAGGCGCCGCCCCCCCGCGGCAACGCCAGCGCGGGCGGGCAGCGCGACCGCCTGGGGGCGGCCACTGGCCGCTTGAACTGGGCGGCCTTCGCCCCAGAGGCGGCGGAGATGGCCGCCCACGCCGAGGATGCGACCGCCCGCGCCGACAGGCGGCGGCACTCCGCGCGGCGGCACGCGGAGCGGACGCAGCACGGCTTCGAGGAGGTCGTCGCGCAGCGCGAGTTCCCGCCGCCGCCGCCGCCGCCGCCGCATCGGGCGTTAACAATATAATACCACACCACCACATCCATAGGTGCGTGACGTTTTGTCTAGCGAGCTTTTCTCGCCTGCGTTATTAATCACGAGCCTTGCTCGATCGAGCCTGACATCAGATCAAACCGCCCCCCACCACCCCCAAACCCCCCCCCCCCCCCCCCCCCCCCCCCCCAACCCCCCCCCCCCACCACCACAACAACCCACCACACACCACCCCCCCACCGACCCCCCCACCGACGTTGCACCCCCCTCGCAGGGCCGTGCACATGGAGACTTCGACGCTGCTGAGCTGCGGTACGAGCTTCAAGAGGCGTGTGTCTCTATGCATGCATGCATGATTGCGAGCTAGCTCGCTGAAGGGTTTGTATCTCAGCGGGTTGGTCAGGGGGAGCGTTGCTCTCCCCGAAAAAACCGATGATGATCTATACGTGCCTGCTTCCTTTTTTTCTCCCTTCAGGCACGCCAGGAGGCGCGCGTCTCGCGCCTGGAGGTGCAGCGCATCGAGGATGCGGTCCGCGAGTTGCGCTTCGCGGAGCTCCACTGCCGCGAGGAGCAGGAAGGGCGCTGGCTGCTGGCGCCTAGGAACCAGCACCACGCTGACCAGCAGACGCTGGTCAGCGCCAGGACCAGCGAGGCGGCGCAGGACCAGGCCCTGGTCGAGATGGCGCAGCTGGTGGCGACGGTGTCGGAATCCGCCTACGCGGAGACCGTCGCGGCGCGCCTGGCGAGGGGGGGGGGAGGTGCTGCGCGAGCGCCTGGAGGCGGTCGTCCGCTTGCACGGGCTGCAGGCGCCGCCGTTCATGGCGCAGGCGCCTGTCCTTCTCCTTGTGAGCATCGCTCGCTCCTCCCAACCTCCTCCTCGTCCTCCTCTGAACTCTTTTCACCAATCCTCCTCCTCCTTCTCATTCATCCCGCTTCTCCCGCAGGCAGTCTTCAACGAGGCGGGGGGGCGCGCGGAGGAGGGGCGCCTGCAGGGCCTCCGCGAGGCGCTGCAGGGGCGCCAGGAGCAGGCCTGGGCTCGCGGCTTCCACCGCCGAGAGCTGCAGGCGGAGGCGCGGATGGTTCGCCGCGCTGAGGAGGCGGCGAGCCAGGCCGCGGTGCGCGAGCTCGCGCAGCAGCAGCGCGCTGCATCCCGCCATAGGGCGGCGGTGGCCTCCTTCGAGCAGCGGGCTGTGCCGCCGCCGCCGCCTCCTGGCGCGCCGCCGCCCAAGGCGCCGCCCGCGCAGCTGGTGGAGGCAGCTGCGGCCGCGCGCGCCGCCGCGGGGCCGCGCGCGGGCCCATATGGGCCCGCCCTCTGAGCGGGGCCCGCCGACGTCGGAGGAGGAGGAGGATGAGGAGGAGGATGGGGGAGCAGGAGCAGGAGGAGGAGCAGGAGGACGACGACGAGGGACGATGACGTCGACGACGACGATGACGTCGACTTGCGAGCGAGGCTGGAGCGACAGGCTCCCCGCTCGCCGCCACTTGCGAGCGAGGCTGGGGCGACGAGCTCGTCCTCGCTCGCCGTCCCTTGCGAGCGTGGCTCGAGCGACAGGCTCGCGCGCTTGCCAGAATAAGAGCGCCTGGCGGCGCAGCGGTGCAGCTGCGCGGCCCTTCGACCGCTTCGCGTGAATCACCCTCCACTTCGCCCCTTCTCCATCGTTCCTGTCGCCGCCATCGACGTCGTGGTCATTGCCCATGCGGCGTGATATGCATGCCCTCAGTGATTCCAATCGCGTGTTTTTCACGCGTCCATCCTGTGTAACCGCTTCCGATATCAACCCGCCGATCGTCCATCGATCCCCCATCGGATCGTCGCCATCGTTGCCCCGACCGTTGCTTTGCACGGCGTGCTTCGCACGCCGACAGTCTTCGCAAATGCTGGCTTCTCACATGTAAGTGATGCATGCGTGCATTCTCGGTGTCTGTGGCGCGTCGCGCGTAAACGATCGAACCGAGAGGCGGGCAACGCCGAGTTCGGGAAGGTCCATGAGCTCGTTGAGGTAGACGGCGTGAGCCTGGCCTTCGTTCAGTGCATGCACTGCGAGGCCTTATCGTGCGGGCGGTGGGTCGCTCTTAAGGGCGGCTCGTCTCTGAAGCTCGTGAGGCTCCAGAGCATGCAATGCGCCAGTGCGCATAGCGAAGACCTGGCGTATGTACCATTCGACGACCGCAAGCGGCCGTGAAAAAATGTGCGCGCATGTACACATGCTCGCGAGCGTTGCTCGCCCATTCTGCCATCTCGTGCTGTCGCGTGTGATCACGTGTGTTGTAATCGTGCGACCGTTGATTGCATATGACGCGATTCGTGATGCAAGTACGTGTGCATATGGGGCCACATTTGTTGTATTCATGCGGTTGCATGCGAGCGCACCTCGCGCATGAATTGATTTTGGATGCATTCGCCGCCTCGTCGTGCTCGAGGCTTGGCGCGTTTGCGTTCATCCCCCCCCCCCCCGTTCGAGGCAGGCTTCGCCCGCCATGGCCCCTCGCCTGGCGCGCCGCCGCGCCGCTTGGGGAGCTGGCGCCGCGAGCGATGAGAAGCTCGCGAAGATCGCGCGGCGGAGGTACCCGTGGGGCGCCATGACACCCGCGGAGCACTTGGCGCCGCGCTTGATCGAGGACTTCCTCGGCGGCGCGAGCGGGCCCATGCTGGACTGTGCGGCGCGTCGCGCGCGTTTTGCGCGCTCTTTTCCAGCCGAGCACCACCGGCAGCTCTGCAGTGACGAGGAAACCCGAAGGCAACCTCGCCAAGCGATGGGCGTGGACCTGAGCGCAGGGCGCCGCGGGTACATGGGGGAAGGATAAGGAGGAGTGGTGGGCCGACGATATATGGTCATGGAGGCGGTCATTGTGCTGGACGGAGCGAAGAGAGGGCAAACATTGCATGTTGCAGTAAGCTTTGCTTCCAACATAAACCCAATGTCCGCGCATGTGCGAGGGGGGGGGGGGAGGGGGGGTGGGGGGGAGTCGGGGGGGGGGGGGGGGCCTTGGAGCGCTGCAGGTCTGCTTCGTCCGCTCTGCGAGGTTCACCCGAATTCGGGCCCTCGTCCTGGCGGAGCTTGCACGCGGC